TTGAGGAAACAGAAATTGAATTTGCACATTAGCAAAATAAATACAGTAGAGCATAAATTAGTACAGTATTTTTTCCAATTTGGAGAATAACTTAGCTTAGAAAGTCAGAAACCAGTAACAGTACTTGTAAGGATAATCCTTATAGAAAATGTAGTCAAGTCAGAATTAATTATCACTCAAACTGACTGTTGTAGAACTGCAACTACAATTGAAAACATAGTACATATTTCTAGATTTACAACAATAATTTTAATGTTTGGATTTCAAATGGATTAAAAGCACAAGACAGGACTTTCTACAGAGAATTCTAGAGAGTAAGCATAGCTTATTAATGTTTTAGTACTTGGTACTTAATAACTGCCATCCAATGTTAAGGGTATGGATGTAGTTATGGTGGGTGGAAGTGGGCTGAGCCACCCTGCCTTAAAAGAGAACTAGCAAAATGATTTTTTTTCTAGAGGGGAATTTTGATATGCCATTTATAATATAATCAACCTTAAAATCGCTTTTTGGCAATTTCTTATGAGTTATAGGTCATTATATACGACTTAATCGTGACGTCACTGGCGAAAAAGTAACAAAAGATCGTGTAAATAAAACCGCGCAGGGTATCCGCCGCGTACAATCTTTGCGTGCATGCTGTAACCATAGCTGTAACTCTTCTGTTGACAACCGCTGATGCAGTTATAGGCCTATATGCAAGTTACAACAACCATGGTTACAGCATGCACGTAAAGATCGTACGCAGCAAATACCCTACGCAGCGCTATTTACACGATTTTTAAAATTATTTTTTCGCCAGTGACGTCACGGTAAAATCGTATATAGTGGCCTATAACTTATAAACAATTGCCAAAAAACGATTTTAATGTTGTTGTTTTAATGTTGATTTTCCACCCAGTCTAAAGCTAATTTCACACCCACCCTTATTAACCCACTTTTCCATCCTTAAAATCCACTCTTATTATTTAAAGTTTACCAATGTTATCACCTAGCCACACTTAAAATGTCTATCACCTATCCTTAGTTTTCTAAAGCTACAACCCTGTAAGGTACAACAATTTCTCAACACTTTTTGCATTGCACCAGTGTAAAATTCCTAAGCGATGGGAATTAACCACTCAACCCTATTTATTGTCGCGGTGCACCAGGGCTATTAACATTTCTTTGCATTCTTAGTTAAAAGTTAAAAACAAATTTTAGAGTTAACAGTTAAGAAACATTCAAAACTATTACACTGTATTCTATACCATATTTGCATATTGTTATTTTTTTTTATACTCCAGAGGTTTGGTATTCTAGCAACACCACTGAACCATATTAATTTGGTTTATTTCATTTACATGAAATTAAATCAGGCAAAAATAAATTCACCATAATTACCTTGCTTAACACTTGGCCTATCTAAAATTGGACTTGCTGATACTTCTGATCTAACTTCATCACCTATATACAGAAATTGAAAATTGTTTCAGATTTTCTATAAAATTACATCAAAATTGTTCATTGCATTGCCCAAAACCACAAACATATGTGGCAAAGACAAGCCAAACCAGTCACTCGT